TGTTCATTTGCAGTACTAGTGCTTTTCCCTCCAGCCAAGGCTGAATGTAAACACAGTGGGTCAAATCCCACAAGACAGAAATTGCTTGGGCTCTATTGCAATAAAGGTCCAGTTGGTTTTATCAGGTGAAGATCTGGTCTTGAGATTTCAAAATGTCTTACAGTAATCCGGTATGCAGCTTCCATCTTCTGCAGAGATCAGATTCACWCTTGCCCCAGACTGCAAAACTTTATTGCCCATAGGCATGTTTGTGATCTTCTTGGAAGAGCACAACTTAAAATCTTCCCGGCATTGAATTTGATATCTAATATTTTAAAACTCCACACTCTGTAAATGGGATAGTACTAGGGGTCATAAACATATTAAAATCCTTTTTCTAAACTTCTATTCTAAAAGACTCATGAAAAGAAAACACAATATTTTAGTAAATAAGGTATAATCATCTAGGTATATACAGCGGTGCATTCTTGCAAGGCTCCTACTTCTGATTCTGTTGGAGTTTGTCTAATAACCTCAAAACAGAAGAAACCGAATCCTTACCCCTCCTCCCGCCTCCAGCCAAATCACATTTACTTGTATATAGTAACAAGTGATATCTTCATGTTATCAGTAAAAAACAGTGTTTTTCTTGTGTTTTCACTGTTTTGAACTCCTGATGCATTTCAAAAGATTTTTATTGCCTAGCTAACTGTAAATGTGAAGSTATTTCAGGAGGCTGAAAAGCACTGCTGTATTCAGAATCAGGGGATAGGAGGTTAAATCCTAACAGCAAAACACAAGGGAAAAGAAACATAAAAATCACTCTTTGCCTCTCTAAAACTATCTCTGTGTGAATATTTATCATGAGAATTATAATAATAAGCACTCAGAAAGGAAGGAGAAAAATTTGCAGGGCCAAAATTGCAGGGGTTTCTGACCACCCATCCAAATATAACTAATAATTGTCTAAACTGAGTCAAAGTCAGAACTGTTTGGCTAAACACATTGAAGCTTGTACATAGCCCTTATGGCCTTTTATAAAGAGAAAATGCACAGATCCTGTGCTGGGGAGGACAGTGATTCATTTCCATCTGTAAGGAACAATACAGCTCAGGGTTTGGAGGCTGCAAGTTGGAAGAAAACATGAGGTGGTGGTGATATAGTTATCATTGATGCTGACAGAACAGGGAACTGAACATAATGTGAGATGTGCTTTCCCTTCCCTTCTCCCTATTCTCCCCTGACCTATGGCCCCAGCTGCTGTCTGACTTAAAGATGGAATCAAAAAACCTGCACAGAGTAGATGACAGTTGCATAGCAACTAAAAGGACAGAAACCAAGGACTTTCTCGCTCAGCATACAGAGGGATTAAAATGCAAGGTTGATGATCTCAACAGYGGGTTTGTTGTTTGAATTCAGGGAAGAAACCAGAACACGGCAGAAAGGGGATGATGGTCCCTTGGTGTCAGATAGAAGTGCTCTCTTTCTCTAAACTCCTGGCAAATAAACTAGAAAATGTAGTATTATTAATAGACTGCAGAACTCAAGACAAGAAATGAGGAGAGTATTTTACTCAACAAGTTAAAATAGGAAATAATTCCTTCATAGAAAGAGTGGCAATAAAATGTTCAGATGTAGCCCATGAGCTTCCTGACTAACCAAGAAACAGTAAAACCCAAAATCAAGTTAGAAGAGAAAACTTGACTAGTCCCACTCAGCTTGCATTACTTTTACTACAGGCTCTGTAAGGCAGATGTCCTCCAAATTATAGTCATCAAGATATTCTAGGAAACAGCATAGTCTTCGTTTGTACTTTCTTTGGGGTCTTCACTGAGAGTAGCTACCACAAATCAAAATTTGAGGAGCACACATAGGTAGCTCCATCGTATCTCCAATCTTCTCTTCACCAGGTTTTGGTGGAGGAAGGAACTGGAGCAAATATTGTTTCATTTTCTGTCCCAAGTTACAACAGTTGCCACAGATCTGCTCCCCTCCACATCACAAAAGGATTTTACTATCTAGAGAACTGATTATATCAATATCTACCACTGTTTTGAGCACATTTTAGTAAGTTTCCACTCCTGAAATGTAATGCAGTAAGTGCCAAGATGCAAATCCACCACTATGGATGTTAGGGCAGCTTTTCTATTTTGCGCTGCAATGGACATGGCAAGCGTGTGTATCTCTGGAAAAGTGGGAACTGAGAGGCAGCAATTTCCTAGAATATATTACTGTAAAATATATTCTAAAATTCCAGATCATGTAAGTTTTCCAACACTGAGCAGAGCAACCTGTAATACCATTAAAAATTAAAGCCTGAGGTGTCACTGTTGTTCGTGCAAACACAACTTCTTCCCATTTTTGCACAGCTTTTAGACTCAGATTGAGCTTGTAATCAAAAGCATGGAGCTTTAGCTCACTATTTTTAGCACTTAATGGCAAAGCTAATAGTGCCATTAATCCACTTTGGCATTTAATATTCAATTTCTACTTCAAACTGCAGCTCAGTGCAAAYGGTAGCTTGATTTCTGCTGTCAAATACATTTGGAAGTTCATGATGCACCACATTTAATGACTTCTTATTCTCATATTCAGCTCAAAGGTGGGGAAATCTGCAGTAGCCTTTTGAAACAATGACCAAGTAAATCATATTTAGTCAACCTGGATGCTCCCTGTAAATATTGTATCTTATATCAAAAGTCTGGTCCCTCAATTTAACTGGCATAACTGGATTTAAACAAGTATGTTTTGCCATTCTCTTTCTCCAAGAAGCTTTTTTGATGTTAGACAGACAACCCCAAGCCTTTTACCTTTTCTTTATTCTTTGTACTAAACTTGTACTGCGTAGAAACAAATTCCTCTTAATCATAAATTACAAAAAGGCAAGTATTTCTAAAAGAAAGAACCCGCTGTTGTTTTCTCCAAAAATGCCTGCAAAGAACTTGCTGGTTTTCCTTTGAAAAAAGATTCAATTCAATTGTAAGCTGTTTTCTCCTTTCCTCAGCTCAGAGCTATTTATGGATCACAACATTATATTGAAAATAATAAATTGTGTAATATGACTTACCCATGCTTTATACCAATTATGACTTAATTCTGCCTTTGAACTGAAGAGATGCCTTTTTTTCCCCTGCTGCACTACAGAGAGCAGCACAGTACATTATGTGACCATCTAAATGGGGAAGATGGGATGGCGATTTAAATGGCAAACATGCTCCTGTGCATGATTTCTGATGTGCATGCCTAAAACCTTAGTGTCCTACACCAGCAGGTGAGACAGAGACAAGCCCAGGGCTCCACTGCACCTCTGAAAGGTGATTAACAGCAGACACAGCATCTTTAAATCATTATCTTCAGTGGGCTCCATCTGCTCAACAGAGCTGGCCAACAAATAACTGGGGTTCTGTTCACAAGATAAACCACTCTAGGCATAAAATGCACTTTAAAGAGGCTACTATCTTTTCCTTGTTATGAGATTAGAAGTCATCTTCTATTAGATCACTTACAAAATCTTTCCCATGGGAAAGGGGAGACAGTTTATTGTTTTAAGCCATTTGTTCTGAAATACAGCAACAAGAATTTAGGGAGAGACTTAGAAAAGACAAATTCTGTAAGACAACTTGTTAGGTAAGTTCCCACCTTATTTTGCAGATTAAAATTCCTGCACCTGGATGTTGTCTTTGTAAAGTTATCCTTCAAAACTGAATTTGAGATTTGTCGACTCTTGATTTATGATGCATGGTAATAATTCCACTGTTTCCAAATGAAACTGGCCATCTAACTGTGGGTTAGTTTTTAAAGAGTAAATAAAGACAAGAACATATGGAAATTTGTTTCATTTCTGTGTACAGCACACTAGTACATACAGGAACAGGAAAGATTAACTTGCAAGGAAGACTGAGCCTTAGGTGAACTGTTTGAAATCCTGCAGCTGGGCAGGACAGTCATAACAGGTGTGGAAGTTCACCCCTCCTTCACCTCACTCACAAGCATGGAATTTGGGAACTAAAGCAAACAAACCACAAACCACTGCAGGTAGAGTTAAACTAAGAGTTCTCATCTGATGAAAATACAGCATCTAGTTAGTGATACCTCATACAGCACCTCAGCAAGTATCACAGGGTGTATTTCCTACCCACCTGCACTACAGCTCGCCCTCAGTTTGTTGCCTTAGACARTAAGGTGCAGAGTCTGAAGAAGTCCCTTGCAGCCCCAAGGACAGTGTTGTCAGCGCTCAGCCCATTTCCCTGAGCTGGACAAGGGGACTCAGCTTCCAKGCAGAAGGGGAAGTTTGGATGAGGATGGCACGTGGACAGTGTAGCTGGCTGTCTGGGTYAGGTATAAAGTTTGACTAGATGAAAATTTCACTTTTTTTGGACAACTTGTAAGAGAAATTGAGACTGTGATCTGCAGAGGGCGCCAGATGGTTTCAGATGCTCCCGGGAGGAGAGCCATGGGGACGCTGCACCCGGCGTGTGTAGCTGTCACTCAGCAAGGTGCTTGCTCTCTAATGGCCACTGCGCTGCACGGAGGATTAAGTAGGAGTTGTTTCGCTTGCATGAATGTATAAATCTCTCGATTCCTTTTTTCCTTTCTTGCCATTGAAATAGCAGGAGAGACTTCACTGAGCTGCAACACCTCAACACACCTGTGACAAACCTGCACTGGCCCCAGCTCACAGGAGCTGATGAGAAAACTACCTGCTTTTCATCAAAAGGAGGACCAGAACCAGTAATGTGCTGCTGGTGGGTTTTTTCCCTTCAGAGAAAACTACTTGAGCCTACAAAATTTGCAATTCACTTTGTTCTGGTAGAGAAGAGCAGCCTGTGACTGACACAACTCACTGTAAATGAAGATTTCACATGTTTCTACTTCTAAAAGCAACTAAAGCAAAGTCCTGCTTGATTCCATTCCCTGTGCACAGCAACAACTTGGAAGGACTTTTTATTTTACCCCCCTCTTCTTAATCCTGTGCTCTACAAGCTCCATAATTGTTTGCAAGTTCGAGCCCCTTSCTGGCAATGAATATCACTCACTTTGCACTTTCATTTCAGCCTGTGCTACTTAACGTCACCGAAGACTACAACGACTCRATTCTTAACAGAAGCAGTGATGGATTTTGTGAGCAGGTCTTCATAAAGGCAGAGGTCTTCTTGACTCTAGGGATCATCAGCCTGCTGGAAAATATCCTTGTCATTCTTGCAGTGCTGAAGAATGGAAACCTGCACTCTCCCATGTACTTCTTCCTGTGCAGCCTGGCTGTGGCAGATATGTTAGTGAGCATGTCAAATGCTTTGGAGACGATCATGATTGCAATTCTGAGCAACGGCTATTTGATCATTGATGACCACTTTATTCAGCATATGGATAACATTTTTGACTCAATGATTTGTATTTCTTTGGTAGCTTCAATTTGCAACCTCTTGGTTATAGCCATTGACAGGTACATAACTATTTTCTATGCTCTCCGTTACCACAGCATCATGACTGTGAAGAAAGCTCTAGCCCTCATCGTGGTCATTTGGATTGCTTGCATCATCTGCGGCATCATATTCATTGCCTACTCGGAAAGCAAAACTGTCATTGTCTGTCTCATCACCATGTTCTTTACCATGCTCTTTCTTATGGCCTCCCTTTACGTTCACATGTTCTTGTTTGCACGCCTGCACGTTAAGCGGATTGCGGCCCTGCCGGTGGACGGGGTGCCTTATCAGCGCACCTGCATGAAGGGAGCTGTGACAATCACTATATTACTCGGGGTCTTCATTGTTTGCTGGGCACCTTTCTTCCTGCACCTCATTCTCATCATTTCATGCCCCATGAACCCCTACTGTGTCTGCTACACTTCCCATTTCAACACCTATCTGGTCTTGATAATGTGCAACTCTGTAATTGATCCACTCATTTATGCTTTCCGGAGTCTGGAGATGAGAAAGACTTTCAAAGAAATAGTCTGTTGTTGTTATGGCATGAGTGTGGGACAGTGCGTGTTGTAAACGGATGGCTTTTATGCCGAAAACAGAAAGGCGATGCATACAATGAGAGATGCATACAATGAATATATATATTCATGCATCTCTAATACACAGCAACTTCACTTTAAAAGCTGTACCTGAGAGGGCACAAGGAAAAAAACTTTTACATGATGCCTTGATTTATATTTTTCAAAATGAAAAAGATTCAGATAAAGTTATTTAAATAGCTGCAACAGAAGCAAAAACAGAATAGCTTGCAAAATAGCACAAGAAACTTATTTATTGGAAAAATGAATTCTGAAAGTAAATGCTAACTTATTCACTTGAATGATGATTTCCTCATCCTTCATCTGTACCTGTTGCTCTATCTCTGTGCCATCATCAAGCCAGTGTTTTCTAAAAGATTTCATTTGTAATATCTCTGGAAATCAATTTGTTTGTAAGACATCAAAATACTGACAGGTAACAGCATTGCTTTATATTCATTCTCATGTCTCTACCTTTTATTAAAAGAAAGATCTGACATCTATGCTGCTTGCTATAAAAAAACTTGCAGAAAAATTTAAACAGTGAAAGCAAACATTCCCCGACACCAGAATATTCTTTAGCAGAAGTCAGCTAAGAAAAGGAACAATTACTGTATAGTGTATTTTCAGCAGCTGAATGATAGAACTGAGCTGAAYGTTCCTACATTTGTGATTTGTGTGTATGTCAGTCTCAAAAGTTGTTTTAATTGCAATGCACTGATCAATGTAGTATTTAGTATGCTGATAAAACACGTGTCACCTTTTGATAAACAGTTTACTGATAAGTCTCATCATTGAGAATTTTGAAGACTGCACAGAGCCAAATCTAAGAAATAACTGAAGTGAAAAACACTTTGAATTTGGCTTTGTGTTAAGATACACAGAATATTTAGATGTAGTCATCTGGTTAAGTTAGACCTRCAAGAAGTAAAATGCATATGATAGATATGACTCCTATGCATTAACGATGTTATACATCAGCTTTTTATTTAAACAGCTTTACACTGAATATAGTGCAGAGGCATTCTCACTCAAAAAAAGGAAAAAACATGCTGTTTGCTGCATATGCAAGCTGGAAGCATGTAAAGCACTACTTCACCTACATTAATTTAGTCTTCATCCATTTTTATAGAAATAATCCATGTAAGTGGCCTTCAAATTGCATATTGTAACTGAGCAAAGACTGACTTGATCTGTATGCAGTACAATGCATAGGCAACACACACAGACTATGTCAGTTTGGAAAAACTGGAAGCCACTCTAAAAGCTACTTAGTACCTTACTGGTATCTCATTTCTAAAGAAAGGGCAGTAACCTGAAGCTCTCAGAAAAATCACGTGCTCTGTATTGTTTTCAAGCATCTAAAAAAAATCTCTAGTTTGACTTAAGAACTTCTTCCATCCATAGAGAAGTTACTAGCTTATTTCTGCCAGATGTGCAGTAGTCCCCTAGGGCACAGCCAGTCCACTGCCTCCGGCGCTGCTTTCACACACTGCCCTGGCACAATCCCACACTGATGCTTTTCCTGGTACTGCCTTCAGAAGCCAGTGCCAGCTGAGCAGGGGGAAGAGATGCCCACCAGAGCACAAATACCAGCCTAGGATACTTATGTGGTTGTATTGTAGTCTCAGCATCCCATGACCTATGCAGGGAGTGAACTAACTTGGCAGTCATACAGAGTGTACAATTTCATGCTACAAGAATTACATTGTCCTCTAGCCACACTGCCCACAGTCCAGACTAGTCTCATTTTCCTATTCTTATCTAATTACCCCCAAGCTCTTTAATGGATCTCTTATTTCCTTCTCCAGTCCCATATTCTAGACTTCTACCTCCCACTATTCTACCATTTAACTAATCTTATGAACCTTAAAAATAAACACCTCCATCCTATGGCCACTGTGGAGCAGGTAGCAGAAGAGGCTCAGGTGACCTAGGAAGTTGCTCCTTCACAAAGGAGCAGTTCCCAGCATGAGTCTGCTCCCCTTATTCCCTGACAAGTTGTTGTTCAGAATAAAGTTCTCCCATATTCCACACAGAGCCAACAGAACAAAGAAAAATCCCAACAATAGGCAAGTAAGCTAAAATAGAGTTGCTTTTCAGCCGATTTGTGCCTCACAAAYCACAGTTTGGCAGCCCTTGACGGGTATCAAGATCTTTGCTTCCTAGCTCAGTTTGTCTCACTTTTGAGGTCCTTGAGACTGGCTGAAGGAAACCAGGAAACCATAGGAACCATATGAAACCATAGTTTCATAGGAAACCATACAACCAATCTGTCTTGAAGTATGGAAATACTGTGCCTACTTGTTACCAAAAAGACTTACCTGTTGTCAGTGTTATGTATTTTACACGCTGGAGCATAGTTTGCCATAATATTCTGCCTCAGGTTATTGTGTATCTAGCTTTTATTGTACCTGATATCCTAATTACTGCTCTTTTTAGAAGTGATTTTACATGATACTTTCATACTGTGCTTTGCCATTAAGCAAAAAAAAACATACATGTTGAATAAAATAAACCAAAACCATTGCTTAGAATCTTGTTTACTTCTATCAGAGAACCATGCCCTTTCAAACTACTCATCTACAGAGAGTCTAGTATATAAAACTAGCAAYTAAGTTCAACCTAGAACAAAAACTCCCTAATTCTTCATGCTGCCCACATAGACCTCTCCTATTGCTTCTGGAATCAACCGAAGGTGTGCATCCTCTTCACAGAGGACCCAGAGAGCATGGGTTTGTTCAGCCCCAATTACAAAATCCCAGCTCCAACTCCTGCTTTGGAAATCCAAGGTTCAGACTCCCACATGCATAGAGAATGGTAATCACCAGTTTTCCATGGTGGAAAAAGACCACTTTCTACAGGACCGGACTCCAGAATAAGAGGTAAAGAACAAGCACCAACAGCCGCATTTACAGATCTATCAGTGAAAGGAAGAGGACTGCAGTATCAGTAAATACTACTGCAATCAATTGCTTTGTGCCAGGTTTTAAAGCTTACTCCAAGGAGAAAGGAGTCAGGAAACTGCCTGTTTGCCATCCTCAGTGCTTGGAGGCAGAGCTGAGACTTCAATTGGGAATATGAGGGATGCACAAAGGGGAAAAAAAGCAAAAGATCCCAAAGATGAAATCATTTCCTAGCAGTGCACCCTCTAGAAGGGTCTACACCACAGAGCAAAGATGTGACTGCACTATGTGCTAGTACAGGGCAATAGCCCTTCACACATGCTAGGCACTAGAGCACAGTCATCTGCTGAAGATCTGCCTCTGATTACAACTGCATTGAAACGTAAGTACTCGCAGAGTTGTTGCTATTAAGCACAACGTATGTGTTAATGCTTAGGAACAAAAATGCATCCTCCTTGGTTTAAGAATGCTGGGCTGAACAAAATGTACACAGTTTCCCCTTAGAGAGCAAGAAAAATTGTAAATTGAAAAAATATTCTTTTCATCTAAAGATGCTACTTATTGATTTATTGATTTGGTTTTCTGCAAGAAAAACAGTCAGTTCACCCATAGCACAGTATCTTTCATTATCATTTACTCAAAGATTTCTTTAAAACCTCCTGTTTTTATACAAATATTTGGATTGTCAGAAGCATGTGTTATTGTGCTATTCTGACTCCACACAATATATTCTGCAAGTTACAATCCATCTTGCTTTCATAGAGCAGCACCTTGCATGCCTTTTTTTCTATCAAAAGCATTATTTAATGAATAAATAATGAAACATAGGCMCAGAATTCTGCAGCCAAGGAAGATGCTGCTGCAGGTCAGCAGTAGGGTCATTGCTACAAATACCTTGACTACCCAAGTATAGAGCTGTTCAGTGAAATATGATATTTTTTCTTGTGAAGCTTGGTTTGGGATCAGACCTTGGGCTTTCTGTTCAATTTAGTAGCTGTATGTAAATCCTCATGGCARTTAAGCTCATGCACAGATGAACAGCTCTTCATAACATACACTGGAAATCCCTTTACTGGGCAGCTCAGTCCAATCTCAGTTTCCTAMCAAACCTAGTCCCACACCTCTAAGTGTAACAGAAAATTGAGTATTCTGACTATTAAGACATCCAGTATGGGTACAGAATACAGCTATTCCATGACGCCGTGTTATCGCTTCCCGATTCTGCTGGACAAACTATATTCAGACTGATTGATATAAAACAATTCCTTCAAAATGAGGCATAGAAATGTGAACAGATCGGTTGGCTACAGGACACAGGGCAGGGGCATGAAGGTTCACATAGCTTAGACTGACTTTGGGCAACCTAAAGGCCACTTCCATATGTCATTGTAAAGGTCACTGCAGAGTCACAGCAGGTCCCTATACATTCTTTTTTCAGAAGAGCTCTGTGTAGAGGTGTGAATGTACCTCTTAATCACAACTCTAATGCAATATGCCGTTCCAATACAGTGCTTGTGTTCAACAGGCTCTCAAGTGGAAGGTAGGAGAAAAACAATCTTGCCAAAAAAAAATCAAAGATTAGTCAATAAAATGCCACTCATATCTCTGTCAAAAACATCCACATACTGTCCTAGTCAAAGATAAAAACTTTAGAGGTTAAAATATAATCCCATTTTTAAGTGGTTTGATTAATTATGCACATTAAGTGGATAGAAGTACTAGATAGAGCAAGAAAGATTAAATAAATTATTAAGACCAGAACTACAAGTGAAGCCCAGATGCGTGGGGAAAGTTCTTTTCTTTGGGCGCAATGCAGCACATTTCATCCAGTGCTTTGCCCAGGCTGGCATGTAATGGGGTCACAGTTCAAGTAAGACTTTGCACTCAGGAATGAAAATAAACTKCACTGGCTTAGCTCCAAAGAGAAAAACAGCTTTTGATACTTTAATTCTGCTTAGAAAAAAAGCAATTTTTATTTTTCCCCTTTGTTTAAAATGAATTTTTCCTAGAAATAACAAGCATAGAGAAGCCTGCTCCAAATCCTCTTTTCATAACCATCCACAACCCTGGTGTCCTCACAGCCATTATG